GGCTGCAAAAGTACAGGGAGGAATGGGAAAAGGAAAACACCTGGCTGGGAAAATGCACGATAACACCTATAAAGCGCACTGCACTGTGTGCCGGCGCACTTTTTCCATAGGCATGCTTCTAATGGTGGGCACATGAAGAACATGAGGGGCGTCAAAGCTTGGGGAACCCTTAACCAGAAGCAGATATGGTATGTAAACACTGGTTTGCTTTTTTAAACCCTCTGGTTAAGGTTAATATGGGCGTGTGCAGTGAATATCAGCGCTATGTGGCCAGAAGTGTGATAATATAATTTATTTTGTGTAATAAACAACTGCAAGGATAGATGATTACAACAAATAGATGACTAATACATACACAAAAAAAGAGCTAGAAAATTCACCACACTGGGAAGGGTTAAGACAACTGGGTCGCCCAGCCCTGGCCACAAGGTGTCCCTTGTTTTTTTTTCAGGGAGTTGGCAACCCTAATTTCAGTACTGTATGCTTCGAAGCATTTTCACTGCGGACCCACTTGTGTTTCAGTTGAACGTCAACAAGTGAGTTTTCCATGCTGTGTGAAAAGGTTTCACATCTGACTTTGCATGCCTCGCTTTGATCTTGGCCTTAGAAGAAAGTTTATACAAAAGGTTCATTTTAGAGACTCAGGGAACCAAAGTTTTCCGCCTAGCTCTACATTTCTTTGTCTTCTTAGTTTCACACTAGATTTTATTTCCATCTCTTTGAGCCTTGCGCCTGTTGCTTTTTTTTGTTACTTTATCTAGCATACCTAAGCATACATATATTCTCACACATGAGTTAAGACTTAAAATAGATCCCCTGGCTGAATATTGAGTGTAGGATATCACATTTTTTCTATGTAATTAACTATAGTATTTTAATAAGGCGCCATTCATTGCCCACAGTTCTCCTCAATGTGTTACACAGCTATTTACTGTATGATAAAATTACAGATATATTGAGGACCTGACAGTTTATCTATACCTTCCACGTATTTTGATCACGTTAAATAGCACTTTAAATTCCAAAAGTTGTGACTGATAATTTAAGCAATATTCTGATTTTACAAGACAGACAAGCATTCAAACCTAACACGCCTGTTCAGGTACCCAGAGAAAATCCAATGCAAGCTCCAGCAGCAAGTTGAACACAGAAACCTGTTGCTTGGAGGTGATGATGCTCACCATACAAATGTTCTCTCTGCTACTAACAGGGAGGGACAAAGTTTTATATTTTTACTTATTAATATGTTAGTAGAGAATTTCTTTAAAAAGTATTGGAACATGTTATTTGCTTGTGCTACATATTCATATACAGAATCTATTATCTCAGCCAGGAGAGCTTGCAGTCTTTGGGCAAGCCAATCTAACCACCAGCATACTGAAGAGCAGATATCAGACTGGGATCAATCTTCTCATCTGACTCTTGATAATAAAGCAAATAAGGACATTTCCTGAAATGTTGAACTAATTTGAGATAAGATCTCTTTTGGTCAAGTGTAACATTATGAACATTTAATCTCTTTTGAGACACGGGGAATGTGCTGACTGGAAAAAAATAATAGCTAAGGATGTAAAAGCAAGTTGCAGCTCCGATCCATATCACATGTAAACCACACACATGTATAAATCCAAACAGGGTAAAAATTCAGCATGAGGCAATTCTGATAGTGTTGTGACTCCTGCCTGAATTAATCCATTCTGACTTACCTGTCAGAAAGTCAGATAAGTCAACCTGTCAGCCCAGCAGCCTGACTGGTGGGAGAGCAGGAGCGGGTTTCGCTTTTCCATCAGTTTTCTCGTAGTTTGCAGAGAAGATTTGTGTGTTCGTGCGTTGTTGTGTAAGCAGTGTGTAACAGCAGGGTTTATTCTGTCTGCGTGTGCATTGGCGTGCTCTGACAGGTCAATCAATGAGGAGATGCAGTCTGCTGTTGGTTCATTGAACTGCTGTGGTAAAAGGAGAGCAAGTAAGGGTCATCTCATCCCGTTCCTCATGCTGCTTTGACTGCTCGGATTGATTGCTAACCGATTTGTATTTCTATTTTTACGTTACCTCCGATTGGCCTGATAGACTTCATCATTGCAGATTTTTTTACAATGGAAATATTAATAATTACTTCAAGATGCAATGCCAGAAATAAAGGAAATGAAATGAAGCTCTTTGTGTTTTTCCTGTCCGCATTTCATCTCCCTTCTGCTTGGAAATACTTCATTATTTCACCTTGGAAGATGGCTCTGTCAGGCGCAGCTGACAAATGAACAGCCTCAGTTGTGTTGATCATTTTAGCTTACATTTTTTTCAGCGCTGGCACTAAACCTAATTTGAAACACAACATTCAATCATCAACGTATAAAGGGATGTGAGGCGAGGCACATCATCATTTCTAATTCTCTTTGATTCTAATTCTTAGTCTGTTGAATTGTTTCCAGTAGTTTTCCATGCAAATAACATGCAAAGTTTATTTTTTCTTCTTTCAAAATTACATTAAAGGCTTTGTAAAAAGACTTTACTGTCATTTACGTGAAAATATGCACATTAAGGAATATCACTGTCCTAATGTTTAGTGTAAATTATATAGCTTTCTTATCTGCACAAACAATCAAGAGTGACAATTTATTGTCGTGGAAAAAATGCGTACGAGAAAAACTTTTCACTGTACTATTTAAGACAAAAAAATAAAGGTCTTTTCACAGCACATTAGCACTTTAAAAACAAGATGAGTGCGAGGAAAGGCGACCTGTGCAGGAATCAGCGGGTGACAAAGAAAAGACAACAGGCAGTGTTCTTACAAGGAGGGGAAATTTTATTTATAACACATGGTGCTGACAGGGAATCTCCAGCTCAGCGTCTATATTACAAGGTTGATCTGCAAGGCTGCGCATGTACTGTAAGGTATTTGGAAACCAAGATTGCAGTGGCACTATAAACACACGCTTGAAACAACAGACTCGTTCCCTTTTGGTTTTTTTTTGGTTGTTGTTTTTTTTCTTCATTTTTTTTTTTACAAAATGGTACAAACAACAATACAAAATATTTGTGCTGTTGACAATTTACAAAAGAAGTCTTTTGACTCAATAACTGTGCAATTTTTTTTAAGTTTTTTTCTTTAATCTCCTCCATTTGAAACAATGTGACTATGGTACACCAGAATGCCTTCTGGACTGCAGCGCCTGTCATGCGGGCTGCAACACTTTTTGAAATGTAGTATGGTTACTGTAATAGAACTCATCTGTCCATTATAAAAAAGACACATGCAAAAAGCTCCAATTGTACAGTTACAGTTTGGCTAACTTTGTCTCTTTAGCTTCAAGCAAATACTACATTATGTACACTTGGACTTGAATAGCATTAGGATAACTCTTATGAAACACTGCTTCTCATCTTTGTGTTTCTAGCCTTTGCAGGACAATAGTTTGGCTTCTGTCGGAGCGTCCCGTCACGCATGTGTCCATGGTCAGGCAGTGTCCAGAGTGAGATTAAATGTCCCTTAACCAAAACAGAAATCAGGGTCGGACTACAGCAGTGCAATACTTCTTTCTTCCTTCAATCTTGTTTGTTAATGTTTTCCCTCCATTTAATAGAGGGACAAGACAAGTGGACCAGGTAACAATTAATGGCCAAAGCCCCTTTATTTCCCCAAATAAACTGCATTTTAATGGGGAGCCAAGTCTGATGCAAACCACTGATATATTTGCTGCTGTGTAACTGTGAGTCATTAACATTCAGTATTGTAATGTCATTGCGTTATCTAAACAACGCGGTTCTAAAGGTCAGTTAGGTTGTCTAAAGTGGGGCCTCGTGTTTCGTCTGGCCCTGAATCTGGTCTGAATGTCCAATAAGAAAGTACGAGTAGTCTGTGAAGCATGTCTTTATTCTACGAACACTGGATGGTCATCAGCAAAGTCGCAGCTTTACTGCTGGATTAAAACAACGCTGAACGGGCTCATATATTATAGAACACTCACATATATACAGTAAGGCCTAGAGGAGTGAGTGTGTGCTAGTATAGACTGTACAAGTTGGTTTTAAGTGGAGCCTTTTTGCTAAAAATGAAGCAAAAGTTGAACAGCGACACGAGTATGGCTGTAAGCTCTTACAGAATCCTACAGATTCTTTTAAATGCACATGGCTTTTTGTGAAATATAGTTTGCCAGGTATTTGTTTTAAACAAAACTACGGTGAAAGGAAATGCAAAGACTGCACGGAAACAGGTAAATCATGTCATCAAGTGTATAAAAATGTTCCGTATATACAACACTTATGTCAGAAATAATCACAAATAGCAGAAAGTAACAGCTGTGTTTATTTTGTGTAGATATTCTGGAGGCTGAGGAGCAGTCGGAAAGATAAGAGCTTATCCAGCTGTAAGCTGGGGGAACCACTCTGTTTCTCATGTCTGAGCTGAGAGCTGCGCTGAACATCGCCACTTTCTGGCTTTACAATGCAAGGTTTGACCTACAACTACCTAATTTTAAGAGATTGTTACCCTGTTCGCCTTATTAATTACACTTATAGATGCTGCTTTCCCTGTTCATAGTTGAAAATGAACGTTTTAACTTCTGTTCAGTTTGCATAAAAAATACATTTATCTCATCACAAGTCAACTTTCGTACATCCATTCTGAGAGCATACTTACTTTTTCTATGTCATCACTTTTCACGTTTATACTTATACTGTATATTTAATCTGTTTAAACCGACCAGGTGAAGAACTGAAAAGCAGCAGCAAGAAGGACTTCTTGTCATATCATGTGAATGTGACTGTTACTGATATTTCCACGAAGCAGTCATTATAATCATTATTTATAGACGATCTGGTCAGTTCACATGGAGCTCAAACGAGCCACCACTGAGAAGCGTTTTAATTTGCACTTGGAAGATAAGGAAAGATTAAACCTTTCTATCTGTAGCCAGCGTCTGGTCCCTCTGTGAAATGTTTTGGGTATTTAAGTAACATAAAACAGAGACTAAAGCTCCC